CAGACACGGGCCTGGGGTGGGATTCTGTTCGCCCCCAGCTCCTCCTGCAGGTCTCCCCCGCGCTCGTCGAGGCCTTCGCCGATCTCCTCACGGCCTGGGAACGGGACCCTTCGGTGGGCCCGTTGTGGCTCGTCGTGATCGTGTTTCTTCCGAAACCGTCGGGGGGGGGGGTCAGGCCTATTGGCCTCCTCCCCCTCTGGGCCCGAGTGTGGAGCAGGATTCGGCATGCTAGATGCGCGGCGTGGGAAAGGGAGCTGGACGCCCCTTTTTTTCTGGGGGATGAGCACGTCCACTGCCTGTGACAAGAGCGCTTGGGTACACAATGCCATGGCCGCTTTTGCTCGGGAAACTAGAGGTTTAGTTTCGGGTACATATCAGCCACGCCGAGCTGCTAGCGGCAGCTGCGCAGGTGGCCTTTCCGAAGGCCCTTTTGAGGGCTCATTGCACGGTGCACCGTTCCCCGAGGCGGGTATCTTGGCAGGGGGCGATCTCCAGGATCGCCTCGCCGAATGGCTCCGTCATTGCTGGCTGTTCGGGGGCCACCTCGCTTGCTCGCCGCATGTTCGTGTCGGTTTTGCGCAGAGTGGTTTCGACGTGCCCAACGGTCACCTTGAAAAGTGTCATTGATGATGTTTCGTTTCAGCCCATCGGAGGCCAGGCCACGGTGTGCACTGAGCTTTCGTCGGCTTTCAACCTGGTCACCCAAGATTTCCAGGCTAGGGGCCTCCCGATTGCCTGGAACAAGCTTGGGCTCCTGGCGTCGTCAGCCCCCCTGGCCAACCAGCTTGCATCGTGCTGCCAGCTCCCTACAGAGGCCAGGGCATCTGTCCACCGCGACCTTGGAGGGGACGCGACGGACGGGGCAAGGCGGCGAGTGTCGACCCACCAGGCCCTTTTCCTAGAGGCCCAGGCCAAGGTGGCCAGGGTCCTCAGCCTCCGCGAGGCTGGTGCCCCGACGGGGGGAATTTTTCGGGCTGGGATCACCGCCAAGGCTCTCTGGGGGGCCAACATCCAGGGGCTGCCTGATGGAAAGCTGAAGAGTTTAAGAGTTGCGGCTGTCAAAGCCGAGGGGAGGCTGCCCAAAGGATGCTCGCTCGGATTGGCTTCGATGTGTACGCGTGGGGGTTGGTCGCGAGATCCTTTGGTGCAAGTCTCTGCTGACGCGATCAAGACGTATGTTCAGGTTCTAAAACATGGCAGGCTGTCTGAGCGCGCCCTTTTCATTTTTGTTTGCGAAAGCCCAGGAGGTCGCCCAGGGGCCGAAACCCTGGACCCTGGTCAAGGACCCCGTGTCCGCACTGGTCTTAACCTGCCTGAGGATCGGGTTTGTCTTCCAGTGACCTTTTTTGGTGCAGGAGGCCCAGGGACAGGTGTGGGACCTGACTCAGGTCTCGTCCGCTTTCTTGGCCAGGCGAGCGCGCTTTTCGGCGCGAAGGTTTTCGGACATTGCGGCCTTGGGCAAAATAGGGCCAGGCAAGGCCTGGCGCGCAGAACTTTGTTTGGCGACCGCTGAATGAGCGGCTGCATCGAAGAATTGACGGGGAGGACGAGGCGGTTGGGACGGGTGGTTCGTGGGGGGTCAGAGAGCAGCGCACGCTCAGAGGACTCCTTCTGGGTTCTCACTGTTGCCAGCACAGACTCAGTGAGCATGATCCTGAGCTGGCGCCAGAATGCCTGATTTGTGGAGAGCGAGGCACCTTGTTTCATCGCCATTTTCAGTGCCAGGCCAGGGCGGCCTGGCGCCGTGACAACCTCCCCGTGTGCGTGCAGCGTGCAGCCAGCAGAGTGTCAACCTGCAGTGTCGAGTTGCAAGAACGTTTTTCCCGAGGTATCTGTCCTGACCCGTGCCAGCTTCTGGCCAGGAAACCCTGGGACCCGTCCACGGAGTTTCGCGTTGAGGGCGGCCTTGCAGGGCCGCTCATGCTTTCCGAGGGACATGTTTTCTGCGATGCGTCAGGCCGAGACGGACTGTTCCCGTCCTTGCGTGTTGTTGGATGGGGAGTTACCGTCTTCGATGAGTCACGCAGGTGCATAGCGGAGTGGCATGGTTCTGTGCCCCCAGCCACCTTGCCTGATCAGGTGGCGCGCGACGGCGAGGACTATAGTGTTTTCATCGTCTCAAAGCTGTGTGCTGGCGATGTCACTCTGTACTCTGATTGCAAGGGCACGCTTGACTGTTGCAAAAACACAGCGCGCTCGGTCTCCTCGGCTAACCCCAGGGCCCACCTCTGGTCCCAGTCTTGGGCTTCGGGAGGCCTTGAGGGGGCCAGGTTTAAGAAGGTTCCTGCTCACGCCTCGGCTCAGGATGTCAGAGACGGCCTTTTGTCAGGTTTCGAACGCACTGGCAACCACGGTGCTGATAGGCTGGCCAAGTTGGGGGGCTCGCTTGCCCAGCATGATGAACGGGACACCCTCTTAGCTAAGGGTTGCCTTTTGCTGGCCCGAGAGGTGTTGCAGTTCATAACGCGTGCGGAAGTCCACTGCAGTGAGCTCGGGGTCTACGACAATGTAGGTGCCCAGGGCCTCTCTTTGGTCTCCCTGGATCTCCCCTCGGATCACGACGCTCGGCTCGAGTGGGCTCGGGCCGAGGGCGAGGCAGCTGCGCCCCCCCCTTGCGGTGAGGTCCCGATGGCCCCCGACCCTGCGGCTGCCGCCTCGCTGGAGAGATTCCTGGACAGGGCGCCCGAAGCACGCAGCCGTGGAAGGAGGGGGGCCACTGCCTGCTTGAGTTTCCTGTGGAGCCAGCGGAGGAGGGAGAGGACCACCCCCCCTCCTCTTTTGCTCCACCTGTGGCAGCTATGCAACTGTGGCCACAGGTTCCAGGGGCTTGCACGCTGGATGCCAGGGCTCGGCTCACTCGCTGGTCGGCCCTGGCAAAAAGAACACGTCGAGTTTTGTTAAGTTCAAGCACCCGAATCGGGCGCGGCGGCTGGGACCCCCGAGATCTCCTGGGGCCCTGGCTCGTGAGCTTTTCGATTCTCGTTTCCTGGTCGGAGGTTGGGGGCCCCAGCCGACGAGCAGGGCTTCGAGGGCCCAGCAGTTTTCGGGAGCCGCCTCTCTCTGCATGGCTGACTGTCTCCAGGCCTTCGGGCTCAATGAGGCGGAGGCCCGCGAGCTTGGAAGGGAGTTGCGTGTCCGACCTGCTGTGGTCGAGCTCGACGATGATTTTACCGAAGGGGGCCCTGACGCTGGCCCACGGTGCGCTGCCTGTCCGAGCCGCACCGTGGTGACAAAAAGGTCCTCTCCGATGGGCCCCCTTGGGTGTTTTTGGACCCCTCTCTCTCCTCTTCCCCCCTATGGGCGTGCAATCCTCCTCCTCCTCCTCCTCCTCCTCCTCCTCCTCCTCCTCCTCCTCCTCCTCCTCCTCCTCCTCTTCGGGGCGCATACGGTCCCGGGGGAAACCTCGCAGCTTGCCTCCCTCCCTCCCTCCTCGCGCCCCTCTCTTCGGAGGCAAGGGCGAGGAGGCGGGCCTTTTCGGAAGGCTCGGAAGTTCCTGGGCCTTCTGAGGAGAGGCGTGGGAATCCTTGCGGACAGAATGGCTAGAGTAAGGAATTACAGCAGAGAAACAACCCAATCAGTGGATGGTTTTGGACGCCCCGACGACTCGCGAAACCCCCTGTCAAGGTCCATGGGAGGGGGTATAATTAGGGGGGAGGGGTGTACCCCCAAAGGGGAAGAAAGAGGGGTGGAAGAGGAAACGCTCTAAACCACCGACGCCCAGAGGGCTGGTGGGATTACAGCAGAGAAAAACCCCATTCAGTGGATGGTTTGAAATGGGGTCGATAAAGAGATCGATGAGGAGATCGACCGGGAACCCGGGAACCCGGAACCCGCCGACATCGGCCCCGAACTAAACACCAGGAATTTGGGAACCCGGAGCCGGGAGCCCGGAAACCCAGCGGGTGACCCAAGATCGGCAAGAAAATGTTGCCAAAGTTTTCGATTTCCGCTGGGACCCCTTCCGTGCAAGCGCTGATTGGGGAAACGTGCACTCGCGTGGGCCTGCAACACGAGTAACACCAAGGGAGCCCTTGCCCCGACCACAACACAAGCAGTGACCTCGTTGGTGGGCCACAGGTCGGCGGCGAGCCCAGGGGGGAAGTCAGAGTCGAGCAGTGGCGAAGCGTCCTGGCTCCCCACATAGCCCCACCAAGCAATGCTCTGAGAACCGTTTGTGGTTTCCACGAGATGTTCTCAGAACATTTCAGGCTGGGGCTGTCTTGTTTTATCACATCGGGTTGATGCTCCAAGAATCTTGTTTTTGTTATTAGAACATTTGTGAGTTCTCAGAACATCTCGTGGTAGGACTATACGAGTGCCGGGATGGTCGGTCCCTGCTCAACTGGGGGGGCGGGCCTCTTCAGAAGGCTCGGCAGTTCCCGGGCCTCCCGAGAAGTGCCCCAAGCCTTCCCCGAAGGCACAGAACACTTCTCAGGAGGCCCAGGGGCTGCTGAGAAGCCCCGCCGCCTTTGAGAGGGCCTTCTCCCCTGGCCTTCCAGAGTGCTGAGATATAGCACTCCAGAGACCCATCGACCTATCTGGATTGCTCAGAACCTCGACCAGGATTTGGGCATCCAGGTCCAGGTGATATCTTCGAGCCTCCCTGGAAGATCTGGATCCTCCTCCTCCCCCTCCTCCTCCTCCTCCCTTCCCCTCCCCCTCCTCCTCCTCCTCCTCCTCCTCCTCCTCCTCCTCCTCCTCCTCCTCTTCCTTATCCCCCTCCATCCTCTCTCGTAGTATCCTTCCTCATCTCCAATCAGCGGCGTGCCCCCGTACTCTGGAGGGGATCGGACCCGTTGGATCGGGTTTGAGCGGTCTGGTTGTGGATCCTGCATGGGGGAGGGGGTCCTGGGGGGGAGCCCCTCAGGGCATTTCCCCCCATGAGCCAGCTCTTCATCCTCTGAGCCGTTCTCGACGGCCCCGGGGCCCAGGAGGGGCCCGCGCCCCATCTCCCCTCTGTGCCGCGCCGCCTTCCCCCCCCGCGGCGCGCCGCCGAGCAGGGACGGCCCCGCGCAGTGCGGGTGGTGGGTCGGCCTCGAGGTCGGCGGCGACACGGTCTTCGCCTTCGGCCGCAGCGTGGACCGGGCCGCGCCGCCGCCTTCGGGCTGCCGAGGGGGGGGGGGGGGGGGGGGCAAAAGCCAAGGCGACCCTCCTGAGTATCGTTTGACCGATCCCGATCCCCAGCGGCGTGGCCTGGGCCCCACTGGCCGATTTACCTTCCTAGATGGGGACGTAGGCAGTTCCCTTCGGATTTCGATGGGCGTATCCCCAACTCGGGGGTAATGTGGTGGGGGTCTCGAGGGGATTGGGGATGGGGATGGGGATCGGTTAAACGATACCGACCTCCAGATTCAGGCGATCGCAAACATGAATCAAGGGGGCGCGGATTAGCGACGGGTCCCGGTTCCAGGGGAAATCGCGTATTTCCACCGCCGAGCGAGGCGGCATTTTTGGCTGGAGTTTTGAGGAGGGCACCTCCCCAGATCCATGGATTTGGCGACCGCGCGCCAAATCCGTGAATGTGGCGGGCCGCGCTGCCGCCCTGCGGCCGCCGATGGGGGGGGTGTCCCTCTACAGGAGGAACATTCAAAAATAGTTTAAAACATACTATGGGGACGGTTTTTTGTAGTACCCTGGACCATTGTTGCATATTTTTGTTTGGTAATTTTCATTTGTCCTCCAAAGTCCGCCTGTAGGATGGGCAGGGGGGGGCCATGGGAGGCCAGGGAGACTGGAGGCCTGGGCCACCGCGCAGGACTGGGAGGCCGCAGGCCAGGGTTAAGTCGGGCGTGTCCCCTTACAGGAGAAATATTCAAACATCGTCTTCTTTGCTTTATACATATATATATATATACATATACAATTGTAGAAGTCTGGGGGCGATTTTTCTAGAATGTTTTCATATGTTTTAGCATGTTTGGGGTATGTCTTATTTGTTGCCACAAATCAACATGTGGGGACATGCCCGACCTAAAGCCAAGGCGACCCTCCAGATTTAGGAGGTTCCAACCTACTTCAGCCCTGATCACCTGCGAGAACTTCGAGCACCAGGAGAGTGCCGAAACTGGAGGGCTTACACGTGTCGGGCAGTCGCTGCTTAAAGACTTTGCTGGGTGCTCGGGATTATTTTTGGGATGCGGTCCTGAAGTACGATGGGGACGACTCGGGAGGAGGCAAAAACAGACAGACACAATTCATCACCGATTCCCCCGAAAATATGGGAAAATATGGGCAGTGGGGGGGAAGATAGAAGCCCAGAACATATTGGAAAATATGGGGAATCCAGTTATTTGTATGGTTTTTATTGAATCGCTTCGCTCATGCCGCCGGCCCTGGAGCCCTCTTTAGGACCTCTTGGGGGCCTCTTGGGGACCTCTTGGGAGTCTCTTGGGGCGCCTTGGCGGCGTCTTGGGGGCCCCCAGGGCCTTGGGGGCTCTTTGGCGCCTCTTGGGGCGGGAGGGGGGGTAGTCGATTGCGGCTCCCCCTTCGGAGGCCACGATCCTCGTGAGGGGTGTCGACAAAAATGGCCCTCCCCTGGAGTGCTCTGGTGGCTTCTCCCAGGACCTTGCCGGGGTACTTTTCGTCCGGGGGCAACCAGGGGCCGCTCCGCGCGCGTGAACTTGAAATATTGTTAACCAGTTACCGGAGATCTTAGCACGCCTCTGGCCCGATGCCGAGTCCTACACTGCACGCTGTCTCCCCGCTGTTTAACCGGCCGGCCCTGCCCGTGCGACTCTCCCCTTTGGGCGCGTTCATGCAGGGCGGGGCCTCCTCCTCCTCCTCCTCCTCCTCCTCCTCCTCCTCCTCCCGAGGCGGCCCTCCCCACCAGGCTGGCGGCTGCCGGCGTCGGGGCCAGTGGACCCGTCGCTGCGGGTGACGCTGGCGCCGGGTTCCGGGGGCGCGCTTTTGCTGGAGGTCGGCGGCGCCGAGGCGGCGGCGGCGGAGCGAGGCGCGCCGCGTCTGTCCTCGGAGGCGGCGGTACCAGAGCCCCCCGTGGATCTGCACGAACGAAGTGGGCACCGAAAGAGTGGGTACAATGCCCCACAGCAGTTCCTGCTCCTTTGGAAGAGGACTCGCTGTCCGCGCCGCCGCGGCCTGCGTCCATGCGAGACAGAAGGCCGCCTGCCCAACAGCGGCCGCTGTTGGTTTGGGGCAACATTTGCTTTTCTTGGCATCGCTCGGACGTGTGCATTTTTTCTTGGCGAGGACCATCGAGGAGTATCTTTGATCATTTAGCGGGAAATACACGCACGAAATCGAAAAATGCACGGAGAATGGACGTCCGATCGATGGCGAGTGTTGGGCATTGTACTTATTCTTTCCGTGCCCAGTTCAGGCGTCCAAATCGGAGGCGGCGGTGCCAGAGCCCCCCGCGGAGAGTCGCGCGGGGGTCAGCACCCCAGGCTTGCGGCCATCTTCGGCCTCCAGGTCATGATGGTCCAACCTGCTATAGCCCTGATCACCAGGAAGGTACCGAAACTCAAGGGCTTTCACCTGTCGGGCCCTGGGAGACACTCGCCCGACACTGTTTCGACACTGCTTCGACCCTCTTTTGACACTTTTCGGGGTGCTCGAACTTATTTCTGGGATGCAGTCCTTAAGCAGCATGGGAACAGCATAACCTCCGGGGGCCCTCGAATAGCAACTCAGGATGCAGAGCCGGTCCTGAAATCACATGGCGTGTGGGGTGTTTGGGATAGGTCGGCAACGCGCAGAGGGGGGTAGGGGGAGGGGGGAAGGCTTCTTGGAAGCACCCCTGCTTCTTAGCAGGCGCGGGCCCTCTCCATAGACGTAAGGCCCAGGCCTTCTAAGAAGCAGGGGTGCTTCTAAGAAGCCTTCCCCCCTCCCCCTACCCCCCCCTGCGCGCCGCCAAATAGGGGCCGGGCGGGCGGAGTCAGCCCCTGCGCGCATTTGTTCGTGGGCCTCGCCGAGGGCGTGGGCCACGAGCGTCCCTGGACGCGCGCGGCTCCCCCATGCCTCAGGAGGGGAAAACACACACACAGACACAATGAATCGTTGATCCCCAGGAAGATCTGGGAAAATATGGGAAATGGGGGGAAGACAGAAACCCAGGAAATATAGGAAAAGATGGGGAATCTTTTTATTTGTGTGTATTTATTTGTGTGTTCTGGGGCCCCTTAACATGCGGCTGTGCTCATTCGCCCGTGTCGTCGCGTCCAGCTGGTGAGACCCGGCGGCCCTCTGGGAGCTCGTTTTGGGCCCCGCGCGCTTTCCAAAAAGAACGGCTCGTGATGGGAAAGCGGCCCCGCGGGGAGAAATGTGTATCGAGATGTCCAGGGGGGCGGGGGAGGGAGGGGCACGCCTCGAGACAGACTTCGGGGCAGGGGGGGTGCTCGGGGGGGGGCTGCTTCCTGAGAAGACTGCAGGGGGCCTCGTTGAAGCCCTCGGCGGTTCGCTGAGGCGCCCCTCCGTGTCCCTGCGAGAGGCCCCATGCCTCCGTAGGAGGCGCGTTCCCAGCCACGTACTGTCTTGCGCGGCGCCAGAACAAGTGACACGCATGCCCAGGCTCTCGCGCGAAGGAGCGGCGAGGGAAAGGAGAAGCGTGGGGGAGGGGCAGGTGCATGGACAAGGGCGCCCTCGAGGGCGCGAAGTTGTTTGCGCTTCGCGGTTCGGCTCCGCTTCCTCCTAATCCTCCTTTTCTCCCCTGGGAGGCGGCGCGAGAGCGCGAAGTTACTCGCACTTCGCGCTTCGCGCAGCGCGAAGCGCGAAGGTGGGAGCCCTTGATGGAAGTCATGGAGGTCCGAGATCCATGACGAATGAGAGAGTCCGAGTGCACGGAGGCCAGGGAAGGCCACGACGACACGACACGACGACGACGACGAACACCCAGCAATCCGAAGTTGGATTCAGTCGGGAGTGTCCCTCTACAGGAGGAAAAGCCAACAATAGTCAAACAATCGTGTGGGGACGGTGTTTTGTTCCACTTCTCATAATTTTTGAGCACGTTTTGGCTATGTTTACTTGTCCTCGAAAGTCCGCCTGCTGGATGGGGCGGGGGGGGTCCTGGGAGGCCCGGGAGGCCAGGGAGACTGGAGGCCTGGGCCACCGCGCAGGACTGGGAGGCCGCAGGCCAGGGTGAAGTCGGACGTGTCCCTCCACAGGAGAAGTATTCAAACATACCTTAGGCGTATTTTGGGAACGATGTTCGACTAGTTCTGACTGTTTCTGCGTATTGTTTTGAATAGTTTCCGTCTTTTCTGCAAAGTTCGTCTGTAGGAGGACATGCCCGACCTACAGTCGGGGCGCTGAAGAAGGAACGCTTTTCGTTGGGGGGGCTCGGTGTTCCTTGATTGTTTTACCGTTTGCCTTGGGCTTTCCTAAGGTTTCCCATGGGAAATCCAAGTTTAATTCATGCGGAAAAGGGCCCTCGTTCCTTATTTAGGGTTCCTTAGGCCAACGCCCCGACTGTAAGGTTAGCTCGGGCATGTCCCCCTACAGGGGGATCTTGGGCGAAAAATCAAACAGATTCCAAAAATAGTCCAACATGTTCATACAATGGTCAAGAGATCGTCCCCGACTATTTCTGGACTAGTTTTAAATATTCCCCCTGCAGAGGGACAGGCCCGACTTCACTGTAAGGCCAGAGAGGCCCAGGCGGAGGCCCCGACACCACGACGCCGCGACACGACGACGACGAGCCCGGCCCGCTCTCAGCTGCCGGCCGAGCCCCGACGCCGAACGCGCCTGGCCCCGCGGGCACCCGCCGCGGCCGACCCACGTTCAAGCAGTGGCGAAGCGTCCTGGCTCGCCTGCAGCCCTAGCAAACAATGTTCTAAGAACCTTTTGTGGTTCCCAGGCAATGTTCTCATAACGTTTCTGGCGGAGTCTGTCTTGTTTTATCGCATCGGGTTTATGTTCTAAGAACATTGTTTCTGTTATTAGAAAACCTTTGGGTTGTAAGAACATTTCGTGCTAGGACTATAGGAATGCCGGGACGGTCGGTCCCCGCTCAACACGTCGGGCCTTGTGCCGGGCCCGAGCGGCCGCCGACAGGTCACCGAGCGCGTTCTTTTACGGTAGGTTCGTGCGGCGTTGGCGGGCCAGCGGCGCCGGTGAAGGCATTCCAGTTTGCTTGGCATCGCTCGGACGTGTGCATTTTTCCTTCGGCGAGGGCCATCGAGGAGCATCCTTGATCATTTAGCGAAAAAACCACGCACGAATCCGAACAAACACAGGGAATGGACGTCCGAGCGATGCCAGGTTGGAGCTCTGCGACGCGGAAGCACGGAGGGACATAGCAACGCCTGTGGGCCCGACGGAGTTCAACTTTGGAGGAGCGGTGCCGCGATCGGTTCAAGGTTTGAGCGATCGACGTGGTGTCACAAACTTTGGCGCGCGCCGGCGCCGCACGAACCTACCGTACTCGCAAAGCGCCTATTCTTAAGTCGGGCGTGTCCCTCTACAAGACGGATATTAGGAAAATTGTTAAACATAGTCTGGCAACGATCTTTTTTGACTATGTTGTTTTTCTTTCAAAATCCGCCTGTAGGAGGACACGCCCGACCTAAGCCTACCTGCAAATGTCCAAGGAAAAAGTGCTGGTTGCTTTGGCGGAATGGATCCGCGCCAGGTGCGAGCAGCTATTCGGCGAGCAGTGGTGCGCGCTTGTCTAACCAGGCTCGGTCGCCGAGCGGATTCGAGCGTCAGAGCTCGGGGGCGCCCCGGGAGCTCGGGAGCGTCGGAGTTTGTGGGCAGCCAAGAGTTTGGGAGCTTCGGGAGTCTTGAGACGGGGGTCCATGCAAGCAGGGGCCAGCCAGAGCGCCCGAGCTTGCAGGATCCTGCAGGGCCAGGGTCGCGTTGACCCGGGGCTTGGGTGCAGGATCCCGCAGGACCTCTTGCAGGATCGTTCGCACTGACCCGGGCCTGGGTGCTGGATCTTGCAGGATCCTGCGAGGCCTGGCGAGACCGGGTCCGTATTGACCCCGGCCAGAGGATCCCCGAGAGCCTGGGGACGTCCAGGGGGGGCCTTGGGTCGGGCAGCGAAATCTATACGTATCCTTATGATGTTCCAACGTATTAGCCTTGATCTCCAGAAATAATCTCGAGCACCACAAAAATTCCGAAACTCTAGGGTTTTCACGTGTCTGGCCCTGGGAGACACTCGCCCGACACTGTTTCGACACTGCTTCGACACTCTTTCGGCATTTTTCCGGGTGCTCGAAATTATTTCTGGGATGTGGTCCTTAAGTAGGATGGGAGCAACATAAACGTATCCACTGCTCCCTGGCCAGGCCAGGGCGCCTCGGCGTATGCACCGGTGATGGGTGCAGGATGGGCCTGGCCAAGGAGCAGTGGACACGTATAGATTTAAGTCAGACCTGTCCCCCTACAGGGGGATTTTCAACGAAGAATAAAAAATGCCCCAAAAATAGTCAAACAATAGTCTAAACATAGTCCAGGGATTATGTTTGAGTATTTTTGGGCCTTTTTGGGGTATGTTTTTTTTTTATTTTTCGTCGAAAATCCCCGTGTAGGGGGACACGCCCGACATAAGTATAGAGTTCGTCGCCCTATGGGGAGCGTCCGACCAGGCTCGGGCGTCCAAAGAGCGGGGGGGCTCGGGCGCCAGAGCTCAGGGCAGAGGCCATGACCCCCTCTTCTTCTCCTCTCCTGGCCCCCCCGCGCCTCGTCCGCGCACGCGCCTCTGGCCATGACTTGCAGCCCCCCCCCCCTCTCCCCTGACTTTCCAGGAAGGCTAAAAAGCAGCACCCGGACCCTGATGCCCCCAAATTCCAGTCGAGGTTGTGAGCAGTCCAGACGTTTGAGTCTAGAGGTCTGGAGTGCTAGGTTTCAGCACTGAAAGGCCATGGTTGGAGTCATGATGTTCCAACCTACTCTAGCCTTGATCACGAGAAAGAAGTTCGAGCCCCCCCGAAAAAGTACCGAAACTCAATGGTTTTCACGTGTCGGGCCCTGGGGTACTCGTCCGACACTGTTTCGACATTGTTTCCACACCTTTCTGGGCGCTCGAAATTGTTTCTCGGGTGTAGTCCTTAAGTACGACGGGAGCAACAGAAGGTTGGAGACCCCGGCAGGGCCCGCCAGCGCTGGCGGGGCCCCGGCTGCTGCTCCAGCGCCCCCGCCGTCGCCAAGGCCCCCCCGCCCTCGCGCTCTGCCAGGGCGGAGCCTCGCGGCCGGCGGGAGGTTTGACTTACGAAGTTCCAACCTGCTTTAGCCTTGATCACCAGAAAGAATTTCGAGCGCCAGAAAAGTATCCGAAAACTCAAGGTTTTCACGTGCCGGGCCCTGGGAGACACTCGTCCGACACTGTTTCGACACTGCTTCGACACTCTTTCGACACTTTTCCGGGTGCTCGAAATGATTTCTGGGATGTGGTCCTTAAGTACGATGGGAGCATCAGAAGGCTTGACGATTTTTCGCCAATCGACTTGTGGGGATCGAGCCAGGTAAATCCAGGCAAATGCAGATACATCGAGGCCAATCCATGTAGATCTGGGCAAATCCAGGTACATCCGCAGGTCTCCCATGACATGTTGAGCAGATCGTGGCCGCTCCAGCGCGAGTCGAGGGAGGGCAGAAGTCGTTAAGTCCTAACGACGGAGAAAGGGCTCTCACGAACAGTCGGACCGAGGTAGAAGGATCGAGGTCGGCTCGGGGACGAAAGACGAATCGAGGTCGGCTCGTGATCGAGGTAGGTGGATCGAGGACGGCTCGGAATGGGTCGGATCGAGGTAGAAGTACCCTAACTCGAAGGCGAAAAGACGGCATAAACATGAATTTGTGGCGATCCGCGCGGATTTCTTGGATCCGAGCTGGGCCCCGCAGCGGCGCCTCCGGCGCCGCCCCTGGCGCGCGGAGCGCGCCAGAGAGGGGGGCACAGCGCAGGTCCACGTTCGTGTTCGGTTGCCTGCCCCTCAACGCACCCAGACGATCGTTCGGAAACCGGGACTGGGGCTGCAATCTGTTATCATTTCTCGCTTCCCTGGTGCCTTCCCATGGTCGTTGACTTTGGTTTTGCGATGTGTGAGTTGTTCCTCACTGCGTGTGCTCCTGTGCTCATCCTGGCTCGTTTCCCTCAATGTTTGGAACCCTCCGTTCCAGAGTCCCTCTCTTGTTTATGCGTTCCCACGACTTTGTTTCCCGCCAGGGCTTTTTTGTTTTGTAGTCGTTGCGGCGATTTTTAATGAATTAGGTTTGAATCGATGCCTTCGCTCCTTAGCACCATCGCTTTGCCCTCTGTTTATATTTCACGCCGACTGTCCCTGAGCGGAACATCCCGACGACTTGTTGGGGGGGGAAGGTTGGTATCGAATGTAAAAGTTTGTCCGCCCGCCCGCTTGTGCCGTGAGCAGCGGGGGGGGGGCGCGGCGGAGGATGGGGGAGGAGCCAGTCAGAGGACCATGAAGGAGAAGTCACCACCACTACCCCCATTCCTCCTCCCTCCTCGTCCCTACTCTTCCGGGAGAGGGAGGGGGCGAGGGAGGCGGAAGTGGGCAGGAGGATGAGGACAAAGAGGCAAGATCGGGAAGCGCAGGAGGAGGTGGAGCAGCTGGTGGGCGGAGGTTCGCGTAGACTGGGGCGGAGGCTGACGAGGAGGGGGGGCGATGATCACTGAGAGGGAGGGTCATGCCAGCGAGGAGGACAAGGAGAAGGACAAAGAGGACGATGTAGGCGGGGGGATGCCGATACGCCAAGGAGGAGAGAGGGGGGGATGATGTGGAACAGGTGTGGGGGGGGCGGTGCATGGATGGTTGGACGGGGGCCGAGGTCGGATGCCAGAGGCAAGACGGGCGCTGGACGAAGCGAGGAGGCTAGGCCGAGATTCCCGGGATCGAGAGCGGATGGAGAAGGGGGGAAGGGAGGAGGGAGGGAGGGAGGGGAGGGAGGGAGGGAGGAGGGAGGGAGGGGGGGGAGGGCGGGAGGGGAGGGGGGGGAGGGGGGGGGGGGGTGGGGGGGGGGAGGGGGGGGGGGGGGGAGGGGGGGAGGGAGGGAGGGAGGGGGGGGACAGGAGTTTCGCCTGTGGGGCGCCCGCCTCGCGGGCGCCTTATGTGCGCTGGACTGTCAAGTCCCGCGCACCTGATTGGGTTGCGTCTTGCCAGGGCCCGCGCCCTAAGAACAAACATCAGGATGAGCAGCTGTGAACCAGAGTAGGCCCCACACAGTAAGCTATCGCATTGTGGATGTGTACGCCACGTGGCGCGAGCCGTGCGGCGCCAGCTGCGCGGTGCAACATGCGGGGTGCGAGCTCTGTGGCCGCAGCGGGCCACAGCGGGCGGGGGAACGTGGCGAGCCCTCGGCGTGCGCTCACAGGGCGGCAGCGCGGCGGATCCTCGGCACAACCCGCGGCGCACGGGGCGGCGACGAGGCGGCAGCGTGGCGGGCCCTCTGCCTGGCATCGCTCGGACGTGTGCATTGGTTCTCGGCGAGGGCCATCGAGGAGCATCCTTGATCAGGCGGCGAAAGATCCACGCACGAAACCGAAAAAAGCACAGGGAATGGACGTCCGAGCGATGGCCAGTCTGCACGCCCCCACAGGGCGGCCACGGGCGGGGCAGCGGCGCGGCCAACTGGGCGGCCACGGGCGGCACGAGGCGGCGGGTCCTCGGCATGGCCGCCCGATCGCTTCGGGGGAGGAGTTTCTGGCATCGCTCGGGCGTGTGCATTTTTTCTCGGCGAGAACCACTGAGGACGATCCTGGACCATCGAGCAAACAAAACACGCAGGAAACCGAACAAAGCACAGGAAATGGACGTCCGAGCGATGGCGAGAGTTAGACTCCCTAAAGAGCAGGCAGGCAAGCAGGGGCGCCCCTCGAGGGCGCGGAGTTGTTCGCGCTTCGCGGTTCGGCTCCGATGTCTCCTCATCCTCCTCTTCTCCCCTGGGAGGCGGCGCGAGAGCGCGAAGTTATTCGCACGTCGCGCTTCGCGCAGCGCGAAGCGCGAAGTTGGGAGCCCCTGCTAGGGGCAAGCACTATCTGCTGGAAATTGTCGGAGGTCCGTGCCGATTTCTTCGATTGGCGCTAAGCCCCTGGCGGCGCCTCTGTGGCCGCCCCTGTCGCGCTCCGCGCGCCTGGGACAGGGGTCTAGCGCTGATTCAGGAAATCAGCGCAGACCTCCGACAGTTTCTCTTTAGCTAGCCTTTTTTCTCTTGCGTTCCTCTACTTACGCATAATCAGGTACGGGCTTACTGGGGCAGCAGCAGACGCAGGGAGAGGAGAAGGAGCAGGAGGAAGGGAAGAGGCAATGGAGGAGGAGGAGCAGGAGCAGGAGCAAGAGTCTGAGGAGGATGAGGGGGGGGAGGGAGAGGGGGAGGGGGCGGGGGAGGGAGAGGATGAGGAGGGTGGAGGAGGAGGAGGAGGAGGAGGAGGAGGGGGAGGAGGAGGAGGAGGGGGAGGAGGAGGAGGAGGAGGAGGAGGATGAGGAGGGTGGAGGAGGAGGAGGAGGAGGAGCAGGAGGAGGGGGAGGAGGGAAGTCGGGAGGAGGGCGCCCGCCGCCCCAGTGCCCCTCCCCCTGGAGGCCGCCGCCGTGGCCCTTCGACTTCGGGTCGATACCGCGGTGAGGCCCCTCGCCGGGGAGGGGCGCACGCCGGTGGCCGCGCCCGCGGCTGCCGCCGCCTCCCTCCCTCCGTCCTCCCGGAGCAGTCTCATGGCTTCAGAGGCAACGATATGGGCGAATATCGGGGGCGGAAAAGAGGGGGGTGATGACTAGGGGGGGGTGGATGTCATGGCGGGGGCCATGACTTTTCCCCAGATTTCATGGCGCCTCTTCTCATTTAATTACGTCCCTGGCCCCCCCGCTGAGCCGCGCACATGCCGCCGGTCATGATTTGCACCCCCCTCTTGGACACCCCCCTCTTGGCCGCTCCCGAGAATAGCCCAGGGGAGAGCAATGCATGTATCCAGGGGCGCCGATGCTATATGTCTTCGGCAAGGCTCCTGGGCGAAGACGTGTAATGCCCGCCCTTGCGCTATTCGCCCCCATCGTCGCCGCCGAACTACTACCTCAGTCCTCCGATTTCCGCCGCCCTCCTTCATCATGCCTTCTGGCCCTCGCCTCCCTCCTACCCTCTCTCTCTCGCTCCCTCGGTCCCCCCCTCCTACCTCCTCGGCCCAATCCAGCCGTGTGCCTCCTTTTCCTTCTTCCCTCTCCTCTCCCAACCTCCCTACCCCCCCCTCCCGTTTTATCCCACCTTCCTCCTTTCTGTTGACCCCCCGCTTGCACTTCCTCCTCCCTCCCTCTTCCATTCCCCCTTTCCTCCTCATGCTCCTCCTTCTTGTCTTTCTCTTGCCTTTCCGAGAACTTTCTCCCGCATCCTCATAATTGTCGTTCTTAACTACTCCTGCTCCGCCTCCTGATTTTCCCTCCGCCTCCCTCATCCGCCTCCCCCCATCCTCCCTGTTCCTTTTCTTCCTCCTCCACCCCCTTCCCTGCCCCACCTTGCACCCCTTCCCCTACGCGGCCCTCGAACTCACCCTTCGTCCCCCAGCCTCCCCCCCTCTCCCTCTCGCTGTCTCTCGGCGTCGCTTCCTCGAAGTCCTCTCCTGCCCTCTCCGTCGCGGTCTCTCGGCGCCGCTCCCCCGAAGTCGCCTGCTCGGCGCCCCCTCTCTCCGCCCCCCTTCCTCCGCCCCTCGGCGCCCCCCCCCTCGGCGCCGCGCCCACCCCTCTCCTCCCGCCCCTCGGGCGGCGCCGCCCCTCCCTCGCCGCCGCCCACGCCCTCCCTCTCCGCACTCCTCGCCCTCCCCTCCGCGCCTGCTCGTGCGGGAGCCGCCGCCCAGCGCTCCAGTGCAGCTGCCCGCCGGCCCCGCGGAGAAGGACGCGCGCGCGCGCGCGCGAGCGGCGCCCGTCGCCCGCGGCGGTGCTCCTCTGGCCGTGCCAGGGCCGGCCCTGCGCCCCGCCGATCGGGCCTCCGCCCCATTGGAGTGCCGCCAGGGCGCGCGTGCAGGTAGTCCCCTGGTGGAGGGTGCTCTCCAGAGGGCTTAGGCGACCCGTCCTCCTCCTCTCTCCTCCTCCTCTCTCCACGTCCTCCTCCACATCCTCCTCCCTCTCCTCCCTCCCTCCCTCCCTCCCTCCCTCCCTCCTCCTGCTCCTCCTCCTCCTCCTCCGCCTCCTCCTCCTCCTCCTCCTCTTCCTCCTCCTCCCCCTCCTCCTCCACAATTACTCAATATGAAAATACTCTCCCTCTTCCCCTGATGGCGTCCGGGTGATGGCCGCGCATTCTCCGCGTACTGTTTTTAAACACACAAGATGCCCGGGAAATCCCGGGAAACGACTCTCGCTGAGGCGCCGGCGTCATTTTCGGACCGAACGCCCCCCGCGTACTGTTTTTTTACACACAGGATTCCCGGGAAACGGGTTTTCGCCTGCGTTTTTTTGTTAAACGATGTTCTCGCTGAGGCGCCGGCCTTATTTCTGCTCCCGAATCGTTCCGAATCGTGCTCCCGCTGCAGCGTGGGCCTCATTTTCGGATCGGTGTTTGGCCTCCGTCGTTCAGGATGGCGTTCTCGCCCCAGCGCGGGCCTCTTTCTCGCGCGCCCATCCGCCCGCCACCACCGCGCCGCACCACCAACCACCACCACCACCACCACCACCACCACCACCACCACCACCACCACCACCACCACCACCACACCACCCACCACCACCACCACCACCACGCACACGCACGCACGCACGCACGCACGCACGCACGCGCACCACCACCCACTACGCACGCGCGCGCGGAGCCACAGGTCCGCTACGACACGCGTCCGCGGATAGAGAAAATCAGCGCCATGGTAAGGGATGGGAGGGAGGGGTAGGACGTCAGATATGACGCGAGCGCACCTAGCTTGTCCTCCTCCCCCTCCCCCTCTCCCTCCTCCTCCTCCTCCTCTTCCTCCTCCTCCTCCTCCTCCTCCTCCTCCTTCTCCTCCTCCTCCTCCTCCGCCTCCTCCTCCTCATTCTCCTCCTCGTCCTCCTCGGGTCGCCTACGGCCCCGGGGGAAACCGTGCATCCCCCGGGTGGGGCAGCGTCTCGGGGGCCCTCAGACGGTGTGGTGACCACACCGTGTGGTGAGTCGGTGGGGATTCGGGGTCGCCGCACGGTTTTGGGACTCGAGTGCCTTTCTGAGGATGGTCTCGGGCGAGAGGGGCCTCCAGGTTGTCAAGACCGTGTGGTGACGGACCGTGCGGTGAGGTCTCTTGGGGTTCTGAGGTCACCGCACGGTCTGTCACCACACGGTTTTGGGATTCGCAAAGCGTCAGGGATGCTCGCCTTCTCATCGCCGATGGGTCATTCCTTCTCGGCTCAGGGGCACCGTCAGGGGGGACCGAGGTGTTCGGACCGTTTCGTCGGTTCTCGACGGCTTGCCAGCCTCGTGGTGCCTCTTCCAGGGGCTGCGCTTCGCCAAGAGCGTTCCGGAGGGGAGCTCGGACACCCCCCCCCGAACGGCCGACGGAGAGCGGAGTCATGGCTTGAACTCCGGGGGGCAACATCAGAAGGGATGGGCTCAGGTTGGGATGCATCGACCCCCGATCGCCCGTTCATCGCCGATAGGTGCCCGATAGCCCACTTTGCGCCAGGACACTGCGGATTCGCTTTCCGGGGCATGTCGCCCATCTATCGGCGACGTATCGCCGATGCCAGCTCGATGTACCCCCCCTGAGCCGGTCCCCCCTGAACGTTGCCCTTCAGGCCCTTGCCGCCCAAAGATCCATCGAGGCAGGTGCGGCGGGTACGTCGGCGCCGTGTCGCTGTTGCATCGGTGGTTTTTGTTTTGAATTTGGTTCGGCCTAGCCTCGCGCACATTCGTGAACATGGTTATGGCTCACGTCCCATTCGTGGTGTTATGGCACGATGCAGGACTGTCTGGGCGTGACAGTCACGCTGATCTGCGGTGTCGGATTCCCAGGAGTTGTGATGTGGCACGAGGCAGGGTCGTCAGGGCTCAACTGCAACGTTGATTCGCTACGATGAAGTCACAGGACTTGTGTTCTAGCGCGGTTCAGGATATTCCGAGTGTTGTTCTCCAGCGGGGCTCTTCTATCAGTGACAATACATCGTTGTAGGGACCTACAAAGAGTGACAATACATCGTTGTAGGGACCTACAAAGAGGGACCTACAAAGAGGGGATTCGTACCGCGCCCCGGACGTTGTGCCCGCTCCCTGGGCTTCTCCTTGGAGCCGCGAACCAGAAAAGTAACCCCACCAGTTGGGCACCGCTGTTAGTTTGCAGCGCTTGTTTAGGCGCGGTTTTCCTTCGATTTCTGAGCATTTTGTTCAGTGCACGTGCATCAACACTGATTGTGCAATTCGTTTTGTGCCGCTGTCCCGGACATTACTATTGCCGCCAGACCGTAATCAGTCGAGTAGCCGCCGACCAAAAAGCGTAACCCCACCAGTGCAGTGCGCCGGTCAGTTCAGCTTCACCCAGCCCGCAGCTGCCTTCTGAGTTGGCCAGCCGGCCTGCGCCTGTCCTAGCTAATTTGCCTAGTTCGCGTCCCGGACTTTGCTTTCGCCGCCTGACCGTCGTCTCGTGGCCGCGACCGAAAAAAAGTAACCCCACCAGCCCATCCAGAAACGATGCCCAGAGGAATTGCCTCGATCAGGGAAGTGGGCAGCACACAGAGGAAGGGTCCCCCAGTGGAGGCCTCTTTGAGCGTCTTGGGTGCTTCGGAGAGCTTCTTGGGGCCTCTTGGGGGTCTCTTGGGAGCATCTTGGACGCCTCTTGGGCGCCTGTTGGGGCCTCCTGGGCGCCTCTTGGGGCCCTCTTGAAGCGCTCTTGGAAGCCTTGGAACTGCTCTTGGGGCCATCTTGGGGGACATCGACATCTTGAAGCGCCTTCGGGAGCCCAAACAATTGCCTCTTGGGGCGCTCTTGGAGCGCTCTTAGGCGCTCTTGGGGCCGTCTTGGGGCTCTCTGGAGCCTCTCTTGGAGCCTTCTTAGGCCATCTTGGAGCCATTTAGAGGCCTCGGATGGCCATCGGAAGCGACACGGGGAGAAATCCAAACACATATACTTTCCTACGGTGTTGACCTCTTCGGGGCCTCCTGAGCTCTTTGGCCACTGGGAGCCTTCTTGGAGCGGTCTTGGGGCATCTTGGAGCATCCTGGAAGCCTTTATGAGACATCTGGGGATATGTTGAGCCATCTTGGAGGTCATCTTGGGCTCGCCCAGGCGCTCTTGGAGTCATCTTAATCAGTGCCCCCCTTCAGAGGCCAACATGTGGCAAACTCTTAGCACAATCAATGAATTGGCATTCTCGCCGAGGCCTCTTGGAGCATCTTGGGTGCCTCTGGGGGGTCTTTGGGGGCCTCTTGGGGGTCTCTTGGGAGCCTCTTGGGGGCATCCTGGGGGTCTCTTGGGACTTCCTGGCCACCTCTTGGGGCCCTCTTGGGGCACCCTTGGGAGCCTTGGGGGCCATCTTTGGGCCATCTTGGGCGCGATCGATCACAGGGGGGGGGATAACTACTCACAGTCCCCCCTCAGAAGGCCAAAATGGGGCCCAAACCCTAGTAAAACAAATTATCCCAGTGCGACCCTACCTAGGAGTTGGAGCCCCTAGGAAAGCAGCATTAGTAGTAACAGTAAAGCTAAGCAAAGCTAAAGCTAAGCTAAAGCTAAGCTAAAGCTAAGCTAAAGCTAAGCTAAAGCTAAGCT